GGGGGGGTTACCTTGGTTGGTGATTGGCTAATGGTTACACAAGCAAAAAAACTGTATAGGTAACCTTTAATTTACACTCACAAACATCTATATATCATATCTACATAATATTTCCTTTCCAATGGAGTTTTTAGCTTTTGAATGAATATTTTATGCCACAATCTCCAAAATGTGCTTTTAAATATTAAAGGGTGCACGTTTGGTAGTAATATGAGACTATCATAGTAATTGTTTGGCTTGAAGTTGCCCTCTGGATCTTTTTTCTACTTTTGATCTAGGAGTTTTTTTATAATTGGGTCTATTTTGTTAGTGTTGCTCATCAGCAGGGTTTCACACTATACTCCAGTGAACAGCTAGCTCAAACACCCAGATGTCACACCCAAAAGTGTCAAATAAGGCTTGGAAAAAGAAAAACCACAGACTTGTAAACATATTGATGTAAACATTAATGCACGGAGCACTCATCACATTTCTTAAAGCTCTAGGATACACACTTTATCTTTTACTACCACTGAGTGTAAACACACCTTTTGGTTGTTCAGAAGAAACCTCCACAGGGTCTTTTTGAAGTGAAGCTCTGACTTTGTGTTCTGCCTTAATTAAAAAACATTGTGAGGAATACACAGAGTAAAAATCGAATGGATGTTGAGCCAGTTTTCATATCTTATATTAATAATCATTCATCATACATGTTTAAACCTCTGGACCCGTCTGAAACTCTAGCTTTTAGATGTATTCCTTTCATCTCTACGATACACATCGATGTATTTCTTATGAAAGGGTTGGGTGGTCTTCTCCTCAAGAGACACGTGATACTACCTGGTAGCTTTTCTTCTAAATAGCCCTGACTGGAAGATTAGCATAACACCTTCCAGAATTGCTTCGTCACTGAGATGGTTTTTATCAGACACACTCTCACGCTCCACTGACTGGCTCCTGCTCCCGGAAGAAAAATAAGCTTTAATTTGAGCGCGACTCGCTACTGAAAGAAAATACAGCATCTCTTTAAAATCACTTCTACTAGAAATGTGATCTTAAACCTCCCCCACCGCTTATTTTGCATACAGTATTAATCACTTTTACTCATCTTTGAAATTAATTACCCTAACTGCAACATTCTAGGGCTTTTTCTATGACATCTTAATTATCCTGCCTATTTATTTTTATTATTTTCCATAATAAAAAAAGAAAAAACGTTATTGTCCACATTACATACTCATTTAAACACAACACTCTCACAGTTAGACCTTTTAAACCTTTACCCTATCCCTAGATCAGGGGTGTCAAACTCAATTTCACCACGGGCCACATCAGCATTATGGTTGCACTCAAAGGGCCGGTTGTAAATATAAGACTATAGAAAAATACATATATAAATATTTAATATATATAAAATAATGTTATTGCCTCTGTATTGGATTATTATCGGAAGTGAAGTGACATTTTGAAAAAAAAGTCTAATTCTGAGAAAAAAGTCAAATGAGAGATGCATTGTGGGACATGTAGTTTATGGGCAATGTGCTTCTGTAAATCAGCCTGTAACCGTATAATAAATATCTTTGCAAGCTCTTTTGGGGCCGCATAAAATGAAGTCACGGGCCGGATTTGGCCCCCGGGCCTTGAGTTTGACACCCCTGACTTAAGAGGTCTCGGATTGTGTTCACACCGACCCAAACGAACCGCACCAAGCTGCTAAACGCACCAGGGTTCGATTCAACCGGACTATACAAGGCAGGTGTGAACGCGATTTACTTGATAGTTCCAGGAAATAAAAGTTTTGGGGAAAAGTACTTTGTGTGAAAGCGCCTATGGTCACTATCATATCTTTAATCTTGTGGGTTATGTTCAGTCTGTTTATTTAGACATTTGGTGCTTTGTCTGTTATATCCAAAGAGGAACGTTAAAGATAATTTGCTTTTATATTATATTGAAATAAACTGAAGTAAAACAAAAGGGATGTGTATAAAGTTTACAGTAATGTTCTTTAAACAGAAATTCAGGAGGTGTATTCATCTCTCTCAATCTCACAGGATATAGGTTTTAAATGTAATGTTATAAATAAATATATTACTCACTCTACTTGTTGTTTTATACTTGGCTACACAGGGGACTTTTCTATTTCCATTCATACTCGATGACATACATTTTCCCCTTGAATAGTGAATAGTATTATTGTTTAACAGTTCTGCTGATTTTTCAAAGACAATGAGGTCAATCTAGTTCCTTTAAAGGTCATGTTTTTCTGGTTATTACCCGTCCCCTTGTGTGTTATGTAGCTTTTTCTGCATGTAAACGGTCTGCAGAGTCACAAACCCTCAAAGTACACCCTGTAGCGAGTAAAACTCTAACACAGAAAATATCTGTCTATGCTGCCCCAGAACGCCTCGTTGGAGATTTTTATTTTTCAATTTTTTTCTTCCGGGGCCATTGACGTCAGTAAATCTGGACCAATTGGCACACAGCTATAGAACAATAGGCCCACCCTCTGCCAGCCAAACATTTACTGTTGGAAGGCTGAAAGGTTCAGTTCAGATTTGTATCCAGTCATGTCAAGAAAGTACTCTGCCCTGAAATGTGAGGGGAAATGACACCAGTAAATCCACCTCACACTGTCCGCTCTTCATGCCTCACAGGGCGGACTCGTGAGCTCCGTAATGTCCCGCTAACATGGCACTTAGACTTTATGCATGCATTCTCATCTGTTTGTCATTACTGGTGTCATGTCCTGGTGTACAGAGAGTGAATAGAGATACTATACAGAGATGCTGTATGAGAAAACCAATGTGATTTTGGAACATTGAACAATGTAAATCTATTCTAGTGGACCTCAACAATGGAATTTTATGATCAGTAAAAATGGCAAAAAGATGGGACCTTTAAAAAAGAGTTTACACTATAAACATCACATGGAGTTGGTGCATGTGATGTTGAAAACAAAATGTGACTTTCATGATTCAAATCCAAAGAGGAAGTTTTTCTCCCATGACATGGGTATTTTGTAAACAAAATGTGACTGTCATGATGGAAACACACACACACACACACACACACACACACACACACACACACACACACACACACACACACACACACACACACACGTGGAGATGGGGGGTGGGGGAAAACAATGGGCTCTTGTGAAGCTCGCTGTTTAGACCGGCTTGAGTTTCAATAATCAGGATTAATGTATTTATTGTTTGCAAGAATGGAAGTAATCATCACATACAGCCAAAGGACAGTGTCCCTCGCTCACTTGTATACAAGAGAAAACGTTTTGCACTTACAAGATGGAGGAATACTGGTTCATAGCATTACTCTATACTTTGTTAAAGATAACTGAGGCCCACGTCAGAAATGATCATGCGTGTCATCCCCCTAGAGGCAAAACATCTGATTAAACATCGTTAAATAATTATGATGTGCCTGTGACAGCGTGGCATGTTTACCTTCTAGGAGAGCCTGTTAAACACAAACACACATATATTTGGACCTTTGTTATCACGCACATTTCTGTGTCCTTGAAATAGCACATTCAGTATTTTCCCATCAACTGTTATGATGTAATATCCTGTGGAAAACTGGTAGGAATCCAAATTATGTTGTAAGTTAAACAGAATAATTCCGCTAAGGATACTTTAATCATTACTTTGCATTTCAGTGAGCTGAGGATTTTATCCAAAGCGACTTAAATGCACGTCTACCAATCAGAGGGTCAGTGGATCAATACCCAACCCCTGCAAGTGACATGTTGAAGTGCCCTTGGGCCAAATACAAAAAATAAACCTTACATTTCGAGTCAAATGCATGTCTATCGTTTAGAAGTGTTTGTAGGTCGCTTTGAATACATGTATTAATGTAATCTAACCTTAAAGATACAAACTGAAAACAGCCAAAATCTTGCAAGTATATGAAGCTTTCAATAAGCAGAAAAAAGTGCCACAATCCTCCTCCTCCTCCTCCTCCTCCTCCTCCTCTTTCCCATAGGTTTTTTTAACTTTATCCTCCATTTCTCAGGTCAGCATCAGGTGATCGGTTCCCTTCAGCCAATCAGAGCAGCTCCAGGTGATGACATCATCCTCCCGTGCCACGTGGAGCCTCCGATAAATGTGTCAGGACTGACCGTTGAGTGGTCGAGGCCCGATCTGAAGCCGGACCCCAACGACCGCCTGAGCAGAGTGGATTACGTTCATCTTTATCGCGACAGAAGGGAAGTCACAGATATAAAGATCTCGTCGTACGTGGGGCGGACGCTGCTGTCCACAGAGGGCCTGGGGAAAGGGGACATATCCCTCAAGATCTACAACGTGACGCTTGAAGACGAGGGGAAATTCGGATGCTTCATCCCAAAATTAGAGGGTCAAAAAAAGTCTGCAGTCGTTGTTCTCGTTGTTGGTGAGTTAAACGTTAACATGTTTTATTTTATCAACATTTTGCACATGTAGAAAGTGTCACAACATAATATAAAACAAGATCACTAACTCAAGTATCTTCATGTCAACGGTTTACGTCGCCCCGTATGAAACAACTATAGATCGGTGCAGTGATGCCGTATTTTTTAAGTTGGCATAGTGAGGGCTCCCTTGAAAAAAGCCAATGGGTTTTTTCCATTGGATTTTGGAATATTGCAGAAAATAAGATCTGTGGCAAAGACACATGTATGATACATTTAGCGTAAATGCAATCTTTGGAAGGAAAAAGCTATCGTTAGGCTATAAGGAATACAGCACGGTCACATGACTCCACGTCACCACCGCTA